AAGAAATCTACTTCTTACTTATATAAATGAAAAAACAATATACAGGGTGTCAATTTGAAAACATTCAGTGCGAATATCTCGCAAAATAAAAAAAGTAGAAAAAACGTCGTTTGGCAGAAATGTTATAGAGTTAGGGGGAACTAGAACCACCATTTTAAGTGAGCGGATGAGTCACCCTTTAGACGCGACACACCCCAACTTTAAAATGTCAAATGGAACTACCCCTTTTGTGATACCTCAAATGAAAGGTCTCATTTAGTAGTATTCACCTGTACAAGAATTTTTTTCCATTCAATACAGGGGGTAACAAAAACAAAAAATTCGAATAAAAAATTTAATGATATTTTATTTGATTAGATGTTTAAAATGCATTCCATTTTGTGCTAAACAATAGTATAATCGATTTTCAAATTCTGTTCTAACACTGTGGAACACTTCTCTTTCAAATGTCCCCAGAGAAAAAAGTCAAGAGGTGTTAGATCGGGAGATCTCGCCGGCCATTCGATTGGACCTCTCCGTCCAATCCATTGACCTGGAAAAGCGTCATTCAAAAATTACCTGACTGAAAGAACGTAGTTATTTAACCAACAATAATTCAAATAAATTGAAATCCCCCAATCTCAATTTACTTGAATGAAAATCCTATAAATAAATATTGGTGGTGCTCCGTCTTGCTGAAAATGTATTAAATTTTCATTCAGATTCCTGTTTCAGTCAATGTCCAGCAGATTTTCAATTTCTTCAACAATAAGAGGTTAAATGGTGGTGTCTAACATTTCCAAGTAAGTATCGCCATTAAGATTGCCATTAATAAATAATGGCCCAATCACAGTGTCGCCTAAAATTCCCGCCCAGACATTTATTTTTTCTGGATACTGCGTGTGCCCTTCCCTGAAGAAATGCGGATTTTCGTCACTCCAATACCTGCAGTTGTGTTTGTTCACTGAACCGTTTAAATGAAATGTGCATTCGTCGCTAAAACATATTTTTTAGCAACTGGGGAGTAACACGTAACATTTCGGTCATGTCCTCGCAAAATTGCATTCTTCGATCGGTGTCATCCTCTTGCAACTCCTGATGAATTTGCATTTTGTACGGGTAAAACTTATGAAGTTTGAGTACCCGACGAACAGCTTCATTAGAAATTCCTGTTATCGCCGAAGCTTGGCGTAGAGACATTGTAGGATTCCTAGCAAAATGTCCTAAAACTTCCACTTGTGCTGCTTCATTAAGTACTCTTCGATGGACCTTTTTTTGTTTGCCACTGATCCTGTTTCTTCAAATTTAATAATTAGTTTTCTGATGTAATTATGGCTTACATTTTTTCCGGGGTTTATTTCGTTAAATGCTGCAGCAGTTCTTAAGGCACAACGATTTTCTGAACCATAAATAAACACCATATAAATTCTTTCAGACCATGAAGAACAGAAAATAAAAATTGGACCCCGTTATGCAATAGGGAACCAACCGACAAATTTTTGTAAATCAAGTTATTAGTGTTACATGGAGTAAAATATTCGTTGTTATCGTTCTGCAATAAGGAATCAAAGATTTTTAATATTAGTGCCATCTGTTGAGCAATAGTTCTATCTTGCAAAAGTAAATAATTATATTCAGTAGTTTTCATTAAAGAACCAAATGCTTTGGTTTCTTATTGCAGAACGTTTTTGTCGCCAAGGCTACTTGGTTCCGTTTTGCGAATTTAATGTTTAATGATTCTGTGTTAAACATTTTAAACTAAACTTATTGTGTTATTTTCTTTGTTGATAAATATTTTAATATGATTAAACAAATTGTCTGCGAGAGTTAAAAAAATGCTAGAAAACCTTGGTGGTTCAAACCTGGCTGGAAATTATTGTCCAACTCAAGTAAGTGAATTTTAATAACCTTACTTTTTTAAAACTGTAGCAAACCTAATATATTTTATTATTAGACCATGTTTATTGTAGTTATATTGTTTGTTTATACATATTTTGTCGATTTATTTATTTATTTATACAATGTCGGAACATTCTAAAAGATACCCGTTGTTTATAAAAATTAGGTTGGTTCCTTATTGCGTATTTGTTTTTAGAACGAAACAAATCATTCCGATGGAGGCGACGTAAACATAAATACATTATTTAAAGAGAATAATACGCAAAATGTCTTAGGGTCTATTTATACTCCCTTATTATTAGTATTTGCATTAGTATTATGATTAAGCATTAAGTTGAACCTTCACAATGTAATGGGGACATTTATACTCGATTTATGATTAGTATTAGCATTAATATTTATGCTTAATAATTGACAGGTTCAACTTTTAAATTAAACATTAAATTTCTTCTTTTCTATAAATAATCAATTGCGTATTTGGCCTTTGTTTTTAATAGACAACGGATAAGGATAATTGACAATACACATATGATTATGTTGTTTATATGTTTGTTCCAACAAGCTCGAAAATGATAATATTTCGGTACAAATCATGCTCTGTATACAATTTTTGTGTATCAGCAGTGTTCACCGATTATAAAGTTGACAAATGACATGTCACCACGAGGAAGCAAAGGCCTCTTTTCTGTCTGATTTGTATCAAATTTCTGCTTCTTTTTATTTGTTATAAATTTGAGTTTTAAATCCGTTAAAATGTCCTTAATTAAACCTATTTTTGAATAATAATATTTTTAAATAAAACTAACTAGTAAAAATATTAATAGGAACACATTTAAAACTCAAATATCTTAAAAGAACACAACCGGCCTCTTACACATTTCTTCAGTAACCATATATTTTGTTGACTGCAGAATTATATCTTATTAGGTATTAGGTTTAAAAAAGAATTACTAATACTAATTATAAAACGAGTATAAATACCTTTTTTGAATAATTTAACAAATTTAATGCTTAATCATAATACTAATACAAATAATAATACTAAGGGAGTATAAATAGACCCTTAGTTGTTGCTTCTACAAGTCCTTACTTCAATAAGGTAATATGGGATTTATTTATACAATGTCAGAACATTCTAAAAGACACCCGTTGTTATTAAAAATTAGGTTGGTTCCTTATTGCATATTTGTTTTTAGAACGAAACGAATCATTCTGATGAAGGCAACGCAAATATAAATACATTGTCTAAAGAAAGTAATACGCCCAATGTTCTAGTTGTTCCTTCGACAAGTACTTACATTGATAATGATAATGATAGCTTACTATTTTTGAGGCTGAGGTAATATGGGTATTTTAAGATATGTATAAAATAAAATTTTTAAAAATATAAATTTTTTAGGACGTTGTAGACCGTTCTACAAACCTAAAAGTTATATATAGTGGAAATAGCAATATCTTAGAAGAGACAACAACTAATATAGAAACGCAACATAAACATCAAACATCGGACCTGGTGGAACGTGCTTTGATTTTTGCAGAAGATTCCGACGATTCTATTAAAGACAGAACTTACAATCCAAGTTCTGACGAAAATTCATCAGAAGATGGTTTTGATCAGAGGACAGTGCAAGTTGAAGAAAATGAGGAGCTCATGTCAGAGACTATCGTCAGACCATCCACAGGACGTCCAAAAAAAGGTAGAAAGAGAAAGTTTTTACAACAAGATAGAAACATAAGAAAGAAAAAAACGAATAGCAATGACGAATACTATTCAGCAAAAGGAAAATTGATAAAACCCAAAGATTTTATTGATTTTACATGTACTTGCAAGATAAAATGCCACGAAAAAGTGTCTGCAGGAGACAGACGACAATTTTTTGATCATTATTGGAGTTTGGCAGATTATAACATTCAGACATTATTTTTAACATCACACATAAAAGAAGTACCTGTAAAAAGAAAGGGTTTGAATACAAGAAATCCCCAGACTCGTCAATTTTCTCGGACGTACATAATAAATAATAAAGTGGCGAGAACATTACACATCTCTTCAAAACGAATAAATACTGCTCTTTCCAAAGTGAGAAATTTATCAACATTGGATAGGCGTGGCGTAGCAGGTGGGCATAATAAAATGCCTGATGAAAAAAGAAATGCTGTAGTAAAACATATTAATCAGTTTCCTCGATACAAATCGCATTATTGTAGAGTCAAAAAGCTGGATCAAGAGTATTTGCAAGAGGGTACAACTTTACCTTTAATGTATAAACTTTATAAAACTGAAAATTCCGTTCCCGTGAGTTTCTCATCTTACAAAAGAATTTTCTTAAACGACTTTAACCTGAAACTTAAGAAACCAAAAAAGGATACCTGCAATAAATGTGACACATTTAGCGCAAAAATTGGAAATTTATTGGAGGGAGAGGAAAAGACTCAAGTTCAAAACGAGCATAATCTTCATCTGGAAGAAGCCAAAACGGCGAGGGCCGCTATGAATTTGGACCTTTTTGAGGCAGCAAATAATAAAAACACAGAAACACTGACCTATGATATGCAGAAAACACTTCCCCTACCTCGCTTGAGTACAAACATTTTATTTTATAAGCGGCAGCTTTGGCTGTATAACTGCGGTATTTATGCTGGTAAGGAAAAGAAGTCTACTTTTAATATTTGGATTGAGGGTGATGCGGGCCGAGGAGCGCAAGAGGTAGGCTCTTGTCTTGTAAAATATATTCTTGGTGACAATATATCGGATAAAGTTGAAGAGCTTATTTTATGGAGCGATTCTTGCGGGGGTCAAAGTCGCAACATAAAAATGGTGCTATTACTAAAATCTGTTTTAGAGGATTCGCAAACCCTAAAAAGTATAAGGCTAAGATTTTTGGTCTCCGGCCATAGTTTTCTACCCAATGATAGTGACTTTGGAGATGTCGAGTGCGCAATAAAAGTTCAAAATAAACTGTTTTCTCCAGCGGATTATTTTAATGTAATGAAATTATGTAGAAAAAAACATCCAATCCATGTCATAGAAATGGAATTATTTTAAAAGCACTGAAAAGCTAGAAAAAGAAATAGTCAATCGAAAAAAAACTTGTAATAATGAAAAAATTAACTGGCTAAAAATGAAAGAGATTAAACTTTTAAAAGAAAAGAAATATAGCATTTTTATGAAAACAGATTACAATGACAATAATGATTACAAAGAAATAATAATAAATAAAAAAAAAGGAAGACATGACCAAACAAATTTTTCAAATTTTTTAAAACCGCTATGGCCAAATGGTAAGCCAGTCGCGGAAGCGAAAATAAACGATATTAAATCCTATTTACATCTTATCCCTGCATCAGATCACCATTTTTATACTAACCTTACAGGAAATCCGTCTATAGAGGAGGATATAGATGGATTTAATGGAGAATTGGATTTTGAGTTAGACGTCTAGTTAACCGTTATTTTTTTATTATTTAAAGTGTTTTGTTCTTGTTCTGTAACATAAGAGTTTATTTTTCTATTCATCAATACAGAACCAAATGTTTTTTTAAATTAACTAATATTATAATATTATTATTATTATTGGTGTTTCCATTAATTATTTAGTTCCTTTCAATATCATACCAAAGTTTTAGTTATTTGAGTAAGACTCGACATCCTTAACATCACTACCAATGTTGGGTTTATTATTTTGTTTATCAATAGAGAACCAAGTGTTTTTTTTATGTAACTGATAATAAGTTTTATTAAAAAATTGGTTGTTTTATTCACTTGGTTCTTTTCAAAATTAGAAATATCAAAGTTGTAGTTAAGCAATAGAGAACCACATGCTTTTTATATAGTAGAAACTGTTTTTTTTTTAATCATTTTTGTTTTAAACAGCTGGTTTGCTTATAAATGTTTAAATTACCAATTATTTTTTATTGATAAATATATATTTTTTAATAAATATTTCAATTGTTTTTCTTAATTTTCTCCAAATAATATAAATGCTGGTTGGTTCCTTGTTGTATAACGGGGTCCAATTATACTCGTATTTCTTCAATTAGACAGTTCTGACTTTGCAGTACAACCTTGCACACACAAATAAATTTTATACAAACATTGATAGGTAGGTACGTACCCGATAAATTCAATGCTATTTTTTATTCTCAGATTGCTCCAAAATTTTAGAATGGAATTTGAAGTTTTTTTTGTTTTGTCCGAATGACCATCTAATGAAATAAAATATCCTAATAACAATAACGGAGTTTGAAAATCGATTGTACTATCGTTTAGAAATAAATGGAATGCATTTTGAATTATCTGATCAAATAAAGTATCATTTTAACAAAATACAGTTTATTTTATTCGAATTCATGTTTTTGTTACACCCTGTATTAAATGGAAAAAAATTATTTTACAGGTGAATAACTAAATGAGACCTTTCATTTGAGGTATAACAAAAGGGGTAGTGCCATTTGACATTTTAAAGTTGGGGTGTGTCGCGCCTAAGGGGTGACTCACCCTTTCTCTGAAATATGGTGGTGCTAGTTCCCCCTAACTCTATAACATTTGTGTCAAACGGCGTTTCTCCAACTTCTTTATTTTGCGAGATATTCGCATTGAAAGTTTTCAAATTGACACCCTGTATGTACACATTCGAACAGGACGTTTTTAAATACATATTTTAAAATATCTGAAAAACTGTCGCAATTAATATCACTATTTTGAAAATACTCTTAAAATAATAATTACACTTATAATACACAGAGACGATTAACTACATAATATTCTAATTTACAAGAATTTTATTTATACGCATTCAGTCAGGAAGTTTTTAAATATTTTAAAATATCTGAAAAACTATTATTAAAAATACTGTTAAAATAATTACACTTATAATACATAGAAAAGATTAACTTCGAAACGTCCTGTATAATATTAAAAAAATGGGACAAATAAATGAAGATAATATGGAGGACCTGCCTCGAATAACCAAAAAATTACAAATTCATTTATTCATTTACAAATTGTGACGTTATATGTTTTTTAATAAAATGTGTCACCATGAATTAATTTAGGGGGCGATCAATATTTTTTTTCTTGTAGTTCTTGGGTTTTTAGGTGTTTGTAAAGTAAATGAAACTAGTGTGTGTGGTTATAGCTTTCGGCACTGATCAGTGCCTTCTTTAGTAATTTTTATTTTTTTGTCATTAAAACCTTATTTTTTTTTTAATGAGTTTACATTCGAAATTCTTTGGGTGTGTCATTAACGTTAAAATAAATTAATCCTTTTTTTATATTATTTTGTTTCCTATACTTCTTATCATGTCCGTTGATGTTGTTCTGAAAGTACGTTTTAGTGTATGGGACTTACAGACACTTAACTTAGGTGCGAGATGTTTTTTATTGGTCGAGGCTAAGCGTGGCGTAGCTATCGAAACATGACCTCAGACGTAGATGTTTCTGTAGGCAGGGTTTGCGTTTAAATTTTGTTAAACAATTATCACATTCGTATGGCCTTTCGTTAGTGTGCACCATTAAATGACTCTGTAATTGATATTTCTTAGTAAATTTCTTAGAACAAATGTCACACTCTAATAATAACTTTTCGCTAGTATGATCTATTATATGTCTTCGTAATTGGGATTTTTGAGTAAATTTCTTGGAACAAATGTCACATTCGAATGCTTTTTCATTAGTGTGAATTAATAAATGTTCCATTAAGTGATATTTTCGATTAAATTCTTTGGAACAAACGTCGCAATTAAAAGGTTTTTTATTAGCATGAATTATTAAATGACCCTGTAAGGTGGATTTCTGTTTAAATTCTTTGGAACAAATGTCACACTTGAATGTAGTGTGAATTCGTGAATGTTGCTGAAATTGAGATTTCTCAGTAAATTCCTTGGAACAAGTATAACATTTAAATGATTTTTTATTAGAGTGGATTAACAAATGTTGCTTTAAATGATATTTTCGATAAAAGCCTTTGGAACAAATGTCACATTTAAAAGGTTTTTTATTAGCGTGAATTATTAAATGAGCTCTTAAGGTAGATTTATGTTTAAATTCTTTGGAACAAATGTCACATTTTAACGGCTTGCCATTAGTGTGAATCAGTAAATGTTGCTGTAAATAAGATTTCTGTATAAATTCCTTGGAACAAATGTAGCATTTGGATGGTTCTTCATTAGTGTGAATTAATAAATGTCTTTGCAAGGAACATTTCTGATAAAATCTTTTGGAACAAATGTCACACTTGAATGACTTTTCATGATTGTGATTTAGTAAGTTAGATTTCCGCTTAAATTCTTTGGAACAATTGTTACATTTGAATGGCTTTTCATTAGTGTGAACTAATAAATGTGCGAATAAACGATGTTTTGAATAAAATTCTTTGAAACAAATATCACACTTGGATTTACTTTGTTTGGAGTGAATTGTCACATGATTTAATAGCTGTGGAGGATCGCTAAATTGTTTTCCTGATTGCGAAGATGGATAATCTGTAATTATAAAGAAAAAAAAAACTTCAAATTATATTCACACAATGAGAAATTATGATTTTTAATGTTCATATTTATACACTCACATTTTTAAAAATACATATTTTTGCGATAGTTAAGTGAAATAACTCAAATTGTAACTTTAACAGTTTATAGTAAGACTCTTTCTAAACATTATTTGAATTGCATTTTTCTTTAAATATTTAAAAAACAATCCTTTGAATTATGATAAAAAAAACTATTAGATGCGTCAACTGTCAAACGTTCATATAAAACGGCTTCAAATATAGCCTATGTTAAACGTCGCTGGTTATTTATATTCCATTTGTTTATATGGCACACATGACACTATCAAAAAAGGGTATACCGATGGAACAAGCAGATTTACACTAAATATGCCACCTAATAGAAGAACTGATTTAGTTTTACTTCATTGTGGAGAAAATGATGGATGGATTAGTAATCGTTTAAAATTTAGTGGTAAGAATATAATGTACGATTAACATAAATATATGGCATCAGCTGTGTTCGAAGACTGGATTGAAAACATTGGTTCCAAATTTACAGCTTAAAACTGTAATTGGTTCAAATAATGCATCATATCATTCCAGGCAGCTCATCAAGTTTTCCGATAAAAAATCTACAAAATGTAACGTTAAAAATAATAACGTTTCAGTTTTATTTCATATTAAATTTTAACATTTAATAATTATGCCCTCCTGGGAAAAATATTCAGGCATATAACTGGTACGGTCTTGGAGCTATTGGTATTTCAAGGTTATTTGCAAAGTCAATAATTTGGGTCCTGCGCGCGGTATTACAATAGAATTTCTCATCTAAGTAAGCTTTTCGGAATATTTCTTTGTTTTTGCCCCACGTTGGGCGCCAATTATATAAGGAAAAAGCAATTTTCTACGAGATACTTAGCAGGGTCGGTGAATTCGGGCTTAGAATTTACTGACAAACCAATGGTATCATCTTTAATTAAAAATACAAGAAAGTGGTCTATTAATGGTTAAAGACTTAGATGGTCAATAAATACAAATTATGCCATTAATGTGCTAGTTGAAAGTAAGAAATAAATTAAAAGAGTAAAATAGAGTGACTTTAATGTAAATGATAAACAACTTGCCAAATTAAAAATTATGAAATATAAAAAACAACTGGTTAGATCAAATGAAATTGAGCAGAACAGACTAATAATTTAACTAATAAAAAATACGTGACTCGATAGATTTATGTAAAATATTCGGATTAATGGCAGACAATTATCTGGATCAGTTTGACGGCTTTACTGTTCCTCTTTAGTACGGCTTTATAGGTTCCTCTTTAATAAGGCTTTACTGTTCCTCTTTTTCCCTCGAGGTTTCCTCTTTAATGTTAAAGAAAAAAACACGGTGTCACATATAAAAAAACTTTTTTATCTCTTAACACGTGTTACACAAAAAGAAAGTACCAAAATAAGTACATTTAATATAAAATAATTCTTAACATTATAGCGATTGATTAGATTCGCAACAAAAAAACTAAATATGGCCGCTTTTCATAGCATGCTTTTATATGCCGGCATAAAAAACCAAAAGAGCATTTTAATGTTAATCAACCCAAAACAATTCGTGGAACTCACGTAATAATCTACAAACGAAATGTTGAACCTGTAATCACTTATCAAACAATTCTAAATAACCAAATATATTAAATAATTACCTTCAGTCATCGGGCACACATACACAAAACAAAACAAGTGGATTGGTCAACCTTCATACACCAAAAAGAAAGAAATATTCCGAAAGCTTACTTAGGATCCAAATTATTGATTTTACAAATAGCCTTGAAATACCAACAGCTCCAAGACCGTACCAGTGACATGCCTGAATATTTTTCCCAGGAGGGCACAATTATTAAGTGTGGAGCGATAGTGGGAAGAAAAGTATGTGGAATTATATCTATGAAGTGTCTC